CTTCCAGGAATTTCTGGGGCTTCATTGAACCTTATTGCAGGTCAGTCAGGGGGTGTGGGGGAAGATGTTCAGTAAGTGTTGATCTCGTGAAGAATTAATTAACACCAGACGGAGACTGTCTCAATCGTCACCAGAATCACTATCGCTCTCCCATCCATCAATATAAGCCTCAGATAGCGTAGCTAGGCAGTTCGATAATTCTTCGCGTTGGTCAAAGGGGACGTAGATCCCCATCGACTGCTGCAATTCTTTGAGATATCCTCTTGCTTGTGAGGATATAGATAGCGCCGCATGAACCTTGAGTGTTGACCCTGGTGGCCCTTGGCCTGCGACTAAGTCACGGGGAAAGGAGTCTAGTATCGGGTATTCTAGTTGTGTATCGAAGCTAGCAACTGTTTTAGTACTGTTTCGAAAGTTCTCGGCCTCCCTGTCTCCCCGCAGTTTCGATGCGAGGAAACTGAGGGGGATGGGATGGTTCCAAAGACTTACCTCTGGGTCCTGGAGCTCGCATTCACGGGTGGCCCTGTATTGCTTGAAGAACTAGACTTATCGCTGGTTCTGTCTCTTCTAACCGAGAGTTGATGGAATACCCTACTGTCATGGGTTGATGCAAGACCGAGTGGAGAGAGTTGAACATCAAACTGTTTCAACTTTTCTTGGGGTCCGTCATCGTCATCATCATGGCCATGACTGGCTCCAGATCCAGATGTGTCCTGCCCTGAACTTCCCTTATCGGTAGGAAAACCAGATAACTCCTGTGTGCCTACGGTTGATTCAAGGTGATATATGTTCCGCGAATCTCTGGAAGCTACTTCCCAGAGGTCAAGCGCTTCATGTCCTCTTAGTCGAGTGGGAAGGCTGATACTCTCGAGAGCCAAAGATATCAGTGCCGATGAGTACCATGTATGGCGCAGGTCTGGCTTCACATAGGACGCTAGCCTGCTTGGCAGGTCTGCAATGGGTATGAAAGCTGTGACTTGACTGCCTATCTCGCTCACTGACCTTGCAAGGTTCGCAGAGGCAAGCTTACGTTTTTCCTTGTCCTCGGAGGTTAGAACACGGTTCGAAGCCATGGTAATGATGAAACAGGAGTGGCCAACTTACTCGTCGTAGGCTGGATGGATCATTTAGAGCCCATGTCCAAATGCTCTTGCTTCCGTATTCATCTTTCAAGCGGTCTACGTAGCTTGCCGCGAAACCACCCCATGCATCGTTCACTCCGGAAAAAATCTGGATCCCCTTCAACTGGTCACATTCTTCCGCAAAAGGCCGTAAATCACGGTCCAGTAGGTCATGTTCTCTGTCCAGGTCGGAAAAAAGAGTCTGCCCCGTGGACCAGTCCTCAAACGGCATCAGCTGAGAACCAAGGTCGTACTCATTGATTTGCTGGATAGAGCGTGGGCTGTAGAATACGCGGTTAAAGTCGGACCAGTACCTAACGGTTTCTGCAGTCAACTCAGGAACCGGTAGCCCCATATCGAGGCATCTTTGATATTCAATCTGCGGTATCTTAGGCTGCTGCTGCAGGATTCCGTTTGTGTCCCTACGTCGTCAATAGGTTAGGGCGTCAACTATAAGAGACAAGAACGAAAATGCGACATTCCAGTTTTAGTTATCATTTTATATTACTCACCAAAGTCCGCCATCCAGGCCAGGCTGATCTTCCTCGAGTTGATATAGAGCATTGTACTTGCGTAGCGTGCCAAATCCACCCTTTAGATCGTAGATAAGTGCCCGGGGAGTGAATGTCTCTGTGCCATCAGCCCCTATACCACCACGAAAGTGAATATCATGGTTAACTGGCGATTGTTCATTCTCCGAGTATGTAAAATATGATTCCTAATATCAATTAGCTTGCCGCCCAGCCAATCGCGGGGTCATCGGAGCTCATACCTGGGCATTCCAGAAGTGGGTGGCCACATAATTACTGCGCTGTCCAAGCTGGAGGGTAATTATCTCATGCATTTTTTGTCTGTAATTGCCCTTTACACTGGGAGAGCTCTCGATTATAAATATGCAAAAGCTGAAGGAGCCGAAGTTGCGATCTTCAACAGTTTGTGGAGATCTAACTAGTTATCCTTGCGAAGTGAATTTCCTCGCTTGCGATTTATTTTGTCCCTGACATCAGGTACATGTAAGTTATGGAGCACTTCTCGGGCCTACCACGGCAAAGGACCAGCACGCGTAGCATCAAAAAACCAGCACAGGTGGTTTACTGCTGTCTCTATCATCTCATCCTCCGTCTTCTTCTCTTCCGTCGTCGTCGTCGTCGTCGTCGTCGAAAAGAGCAGCTACTGATATAAGCATTCACGTGATATTGTGATTATATAATACACGTTGCTCGGGGCAACAAAACTTTTCTTTTGTCGAAATAAACAAGGATCCAAGAAACACACAGAAACCCAGACATCACATCATCACACACCACACATTGGACAGACAGGCGACTGACAGGAGACACCGCCGACAGCGAGGTGGGACACAACTTCAGGGAGTGACATACTACAACCTGCTTCCCAGGAGACAGTCAATGCGCCATGGAGTCGTCGTCGCTGAAGTACACTCGAGATACGGGCTCCCCCCTTCATCCGCTATCACCGCGTCGCATCAACCAGCAGACAATGAACAGAGCATCACCGGTGCCTTCGGATCTGGCGTATCTGCAATCCAAATCGGACAGGCACTCTGTCGATGTCCAGTCCAAAGTTGCGTTTCTCAACAGACTTGCGAGCCCCAGCAGCCCCGCGCCGCTGCCCTCGTCATCGACCACACATGCCGCTTTGCAAAGAGCGATATTGGGCCGCGAGGAAGCCGAAGAAGCATTGAAAGCAACAACTGAGGAGTTGAACGAGGCAAGGCAACGGGAAAGACGAGTGAGTGAACGGCTCGAGTCATTACTCGAGGAGCTACACACATTCAAAGAACGACAGTCACAAGAGCGAACACTGTTTGAAAAGGAGATACGGCGTGCCAGGAAAGAAGCGTTTCGTGCCGGCTCCAATTTGGTCAAGGCACAAGAGGAATTGAAGTCCTCCCGAGGAGAGATCAAGAACCTCAAGGATGAGGTCAAGGCTGAACGAGAAGCCAAGGACAAAGCTAGACAAGAGGCATTTGAACGCGCGTATGCTTTGGCAGGTTTGACAGAGAAAAATGAAGTGCTAAAGGAACAAATAAGGGCTTTCGAGACGGATAACCAGTCAGATATTCTTGAGGCGCAAGCAGAAATGATGCGAGGAGAAACACCGCGAAGCAGAGTGCAAAGGTCAAGCATAAATCTCATGTCAGGAAGCCCAGCGTTGAGAGGGAAAAAGCGTGGCCAGCCTGATTCAAGGGATCAGATGTCACCTGTCCGGAAAAAGAGCGCTCAACACCAGCCTGACTTCCGGTCTAGCTTGAAATCACCCACGAAATTAACGCCTGGCCGCGACATGGTACCATTTGAGCAGGAGGATGAGCCTTTGAAGCTAATGGATAATGAAAGGGAAATAACATTGGAGCTTGAAGAGGATTTGCGTTGGGAGAAGCTAATGCGAAGACGCGCAGAGGATATGATTGACTTCTTGAAGCTAGAATGTCAATTTAAACGGTGTTCTTGCAGGATTGCGGAACGACAAGGGGTTAAATATGTGCATGACTTAGGTTGGGAAAAGATAAGTCCTGCTGAGAATCAAGAGAAAAAGGCAGTTGCAAATATACCCAGTCCACCGCCTGCCAGGAAGCCGTCGCCGCAGTTACAGATAGCTCAAAGATCTCCTACTCCGGAAGGTGATAATGTTGACTGTCCTGAACCTGACCCTGCAAGCGATGAGGCCCCCGTCGAACCCGATGTTGTCTTCTGTCCAGATACCGGAACTTTCAAAACAGTCCCATCCCCAGTACGCAAAACAGAGACCATGCGACGTGAACAGCCAAATATTCGTCCTCCAGTGAACAATGCAGATCCACCTCCAAAGTTAAGGCGATCTCTTCATGACGACCCCATTCCGACTCCAAGCTTGGGTGAACCAAAGAAGAGAACTCAAGAGCCACTGCCAGTTGCAGCATTAGAGGCCTCTCATCATCAGCCTCCATCTTCACGATCGCATATCCAGGAGCAGCCTGCTGATACGAACTCTCGGAAACGCTACGTGACGCCTCTCCCCTTGGAACAACGCCAGCGTCAAAACAACACCACAGTTGAAGTTGAAACAATCACAACCACAAAGACGGTCCCGCTTAATTCCGAAAAACCGTCAGCCGATTTATCTGCAAAGCTTCCCGGTACTCCCATTAGTCGTGAAGAGGCCCTAGCTCAGATTCGAGCACGACGTGGCCGTACACAAAGTGCCCTTAAACGGTCTGCCAGCGCAAACGATGCGAGCCATCGTCCCCGTGTCGTCAGTGGAGCCTCAACCCCCAGAAACGGAGTAAGAAGCCTGTCAAGAGCTGAAGGTACGATCAACCGTGCTAAACCTGGCCGCCGTGGGCTTTCTGCTGCCGGCCATGGATACTAGAGTTCAGTATCCAAAGGCAACAGTCCAAAGGCATCATTAGCCTCCGGAGTCCAAGGACTTTATATCTCGCAGGTTTTATCCGAATTTTTTATCCACTATGCATACTCATTGCAGCAAGTGCGTGCATTATATTTGAAAGTAGTACCCCTCTTAATGGTTTAGTTTTTGATGTCTTTCCACCTCACTCATAGCGTTGCATTCACCATTCTTTCCCCCCTTTTTACGATGCATATGCCATGACCTAAGTTTTCGAGCCCGTTTTCCTTTATCTAGCGCTCTATCTCGTCGAACAAAATTGGAGTTATGGGAATATATAGGCCTTGATAGATTAGTTTCTTCTTTAAATCTATCATATAGCTATATGTTATTTGATATCTCTGTGATAACTTCACCATTTTGGTCAACATTAAGGCTAGAGAACAGAAGTAACAACAGATATGCTCTGAAAGTAATAGTTGATATGCATCATAAGTAAATATACCAAACTATACAAGACTTTCCACCTAGTTATATGATTCTTACACCACAGCATTGGATATGAGATCCCTCAACCTGGGCTTTCCGCCCCCACCATACATTCACCAGCTCTACAACGAAGACTTTATCGGCATGACTCCAGGCATCAAGGCCCATGTTGGTTATATCCGAGGAAGTAATCGTGATAACGCCTTCTTCTTCGTCTGGTGTACGCAAGAGCGGCTGATCATCATGTTCGCCTACAAGCGTAGAAGAATTCTGTTCGTCATCCTCCTGCTCTCCGCCCTCATTATCACGGTAGCGGCGAAGTGAGGACGTTTCGCTCTGGTTGCTGAGGTCAGGAGATTCGTCCAAATCTTCTTCAGTCTGGCGAGTGATGATGTCGAATAAGATAGTGAATATCTGGGTGGTCAATCGTCTAAAGTAGGTTATTATAGCTATTTCCTGAGACGTATTATTCGCATCTGGTATGACCATTGACTCTCGGCGGCGGAGCGAATTCGGGTTTGAATGGTCGTCTACAGCCTCTGTGTCGTCACTGGATATCTGGAGAAGCTCTGCATCTTGTTCTGCCTCTTCGTCTGATGGTCCTGCGCCTTTTTCTCCAGCAGATGCCCACCATATGAAAGATGTATACGCTAGTAAAGGCCATGAGATCGGTTCAACAAGGGAACTTGATGAAAAAGTGGACGCGTTATCTGAGTCTTCTCTGTCAGGACCAGATATCTCGCCTAGCCGCGAGAACTCTCTGAGTCCATCTCGTAATGTTATGAATCGACGGCTATCTCGTTGTGTAGCTTTTATGGGAGTAGGTTTTGCTTTTGGGTCCTTTTGCTGGCCTGCAGCAGCTGGAGGGGAAAGGGACATTTTGGGATATATTCTTTCAGGTGCTTGCCTGGAATAGTCTGGCGGAAGGGTAACGAGGACATCGTAAAGTTCTGGCCGTAACCCGAGAACGCGGTCACTAGAACAAGCTAGCCAGCATGGGTCAGTGCTGGATAGAGCGGACAGCTGGGCCATGTCGTGTATGCCAATATTGAATAGAGGTCGTGGTCGGAGACTGGGTATATCTTTGGTGGAGGGAAGGAGGGATAGTAAGTTCTGAGGAAGGGATGATAGTAGGGATATGTTATATACTGGTTGAAGTTAGTTCACTTGTCACTCATGGGTGTGAGTATGTTCAAGGGGTAAACGTACTAAAATTACAAGAGGACTCGACCGGAGCATCACCAAGGAAGACTATGCGTTTCCGCAAGAGAGCTGCACGATATAATGGGAATATCAAGGGTCCGAATGTCTCTAGAAAGTCCGGCAGAGTCAATGCAGGGTGATATGACGGGAGTGTGCGACTTGATATGAGCGCCGTCGCATCACTTAGAGCGCGCTGTCGACGTTTGGCAGGCGGCACAGAGGTTGGTTTAGGATGGGACATGGATTCCAATGGTGACTCGGGCGGTGAACTGCCCTCACTGTCTCTTAATTGATGCTTGTCCCAATAGCTGGCCAATGGCTGGGTGTCGTCCGGGTCTGTTGCTAGTTGTCTATCACGAAGGTCAGCAAGGAGTCTCCATCGGATGATAGTCCGGAAGAGCAATGAGAAAGCGTACATGGCAAGTTCTTTAAGCCCCGCAGCATGCTTCCAGCTTCTCCCGAGCCTACCATGGCTCAAAGGCGCAAGTATCCCTACTGAGAGCATAATCGCATTGCGCTCGGCCTCCCCCGCGGGTTGGTTGATAAAGGCACTGAGGCCTATGTATCGATCATGGACAAAGTATCTACCCAGTATAAGTATTCGACTGGCAGCGTACCCTCCCCCAGGAGCGTCTAAACACGTACACTAGATCCTCCTTGACGTTGTGTGCGCCAGAGGGTAGAGATTTGAATTCCACCGCATTCTCGAGTACAACTGGACGCCGTCTGTCAGCAGTGAACACTGCGGCAAGGGGAGGGTCAAACGTACTCTCGGAAGCAGTCTTCTTCCAGGCAATCGTATATCTGCCGTTAAACACATGCAGTTAGCTAGAGAAGCAGAAGAGGCAGCAAAGAACAGCTGGGGGCTTTACCCGGCTCTGATGTCAAAGCGGATCAGGAACAAGGCCGCGATGCCTGGGGGAGCGCCGGGCGAGTCGAAGGCCAAGTCCATCCCCGCCGGTCTGCTGTCTGAGGGCATGGCTCCGTGCCGCCAGAGTCACTCACAGTCTCGATGACCGCTGTTGTCTCGTCTCGTTGTCTGTGTCTGTATACGTCGTTGTCGTTGCAGTTACCGTTGTGGTGGTGGTGGTTGTGGTGGTGACCGGCACTAGTTATCACCCAAACTTTAGTTGCCCTATTCAGATTTTCTCCTTTTTTCTGCTTTTTCGCAGCTTCAACATCTCAACCACGACACCAATTCACCTTCACCGGGCAGAGGTTGACCGAGAAGAGCGAGAGACGAGAGACGAGAGACGAGAGAGCTGCCATGGAGCCTGCACACCCATACTACCCGCTAGACGCCAAAGTGGTCGGATACCTGGCCAACGACTGGGACGTCCCGACGCTGGTATGCGCTTTTCTTGGAGGATGGGGCGCGCTGCTTCTGCTGACGCTGGCGGTGGTCTCTGTTGCTCGCCCCAGCCTGAAGATGGGCGACAAGGTGGCCATCCTGTGGTTTGTCCTGAGTGAGTAGCTTGTCCCTGTGCCGGTGCTGGTGTTTAGAAATGAGAGATTTGGCTGCTAACGGTAGACCAGGCGGTAGCATCCATTTCTTCTTCGAGGGCTACTTTGTGTATAACCACACTCGAATGGCACCGGCGCAGGACTTTTTTGGCCAGCTGTGGAAGGAATACTCTCTCTCGGACTCGCGGTACCTCACCTCAGACCCGTTCGTGCTGTGCATGGAGACCATTACTGCGGTGAGACTCGATAACCTTAACCCCTATTTAAAAGGAAGAAAGGAAGAGGTCCTGGTTGCTAGGGCATGAAGCTGATGAAGAATAGGTTTGCTGGGGCCCATTGTGCTTCCTGCTCGTATATCTTATTACCGTCGACCACCCTCTGCGCCATTCCTTCCAGGTGATTGTCTCCCTGGGCCAGATATACGGAGACATCCTCTACTATGCTACTAGCATGTTCGACCACTACTTCCACCAGGTCAGCTACTGCCGGCCAGAGGGATACTACTTTTGGTTTTACTATTTCACTATGAACGCCATCTGGATCGTTGTGCCTGCCTGTAAGTCGACTCCTACCGGTCTCTCAAGTATCCATACTGATTGTGACAGACTACATGTGCCAGAGCATAGGCATCATTACCAAATCGATCCAGTACATGAAGGCCGCTACCATCAACCGCAAAACCCAGTGATATCTCCGTCTTCTACTCAATCTTATTTGATGGACTCCACGACCGTCTTACGAGCACCATGTTCAACAGACATATTCAGCCTCCTTCGCGAATAGATATGCAATTGTAATTAGACCGGACGCTACCTTCTAGATAGATCATGCACCATAAACCACATAGAACATATGGCGCTTTGTATGAAGTCTCTAACTAACGCCCCTTAGGAAGAACCATGGGTAGCATCGAACCTTCCTCCCCCTCCCCAACCCTCATTGATGGCCAGGGCCATCCAGGCCTCAAATGTTTACAACTTTGTGGCCATAATTTTGGCCATCTTAATTGCCGCGTTCAGAACTGGCCATTTGGGCCGGCTGCTGGCCAAGTAAGCGTCAACTCCCAACTCCTATCTACGGACATCCAGGGACATCAATTTGTATTAATACAACATTTGCCAGCTACGGGGATTGGCGTCGTGCACCACGAGTAAAGGAACAGTAGACTACTACTATTAGTTACTCCCCAAGACTGCCAATCCTAGAATAAATATTTCCTGCCTGGTTAAGTACTACAACTCAGGGGTAACACCTATGAAATCCGAGTCGCAGGCATATACTTACCTATACACCAGATATATAATGTTAACCCCGTTACTAAACCCAAAATATGATTAGTTGGACGTAAATAAGCTAAATAACTAGTTAAAGTATGTAGGAGTGTAGTTCCTATGCAGAGTCAAGGCCTACCATTACTTCGGCCCTCATGCACATTATGTATAAAGTGTGGACCAAATCTCTGCATATTGTTTATTCCCACCAGTACACCCTAGCAGAAATTATGAACTAAAGTAATAATGGTTATGTGGTTATCCGTGGACTTGCCGCAGATATTCTTCCCATTACGCATCTAGACCATGGTGCTGATTGCATGACTGTTACTCAATCTATATTCTATACCTAATATACTTCATAGCTGGTAGCGCTCGCTGGTTAGTTATTCATAATTTCAATCATTAATATTGGATAGGTGTAAAATACAATCTGCAATGTTTGTTCACTCGTCATGGTCCAGCTATTCCACAACCCGGGGCAACAACTCGGCGGAAGAAAGCATCGTAGGTATTTTTGGTGTTTTTGTTCGCAGTCAGTTTGGCCGGGCTTCAATTAAACTTTAAGCTTTAAAATAAAAATAGTTCATCCAATCAGCAACACTAATTACGAATTTCATTATTTTATGAGAATCATGATTGGCGAATGAAGAGGAACTAAAAATAGTTTATTTGCATTTATCCAACGGTCACTATGACGTATTGTAACTAAATATATGCGCCCTTTAATAAAGGCGACGTCAACTTCCTTTTGATGACAATTATCAATATCAAGCATTTGATAAAAAATTCACGTAAAAAGATAAAAAGGGAAATAAACCTATAGATATAAATTCTGGTATCATTAATATATTTTTTCTCTCTATATTCTCTATTTACTTTAATGCAACCAGCCCAGTCCTCGGTCTCTAATCAACGAGCAATGGAGCATTCGCAAAGCCATTCTTCTTAAAAAGATATCCCACCCCACTTTTCTCTTCTTTTAGCAACGACAATAGAACTTCGTCGCCGATACTTGCTTCAATACTTGTGTTTGTATCACAAACGGCCTCGTCTCCGTCAACATCTTGTTCTCCTCCGGTGCTCAACAAGGTAGTATCAATATGGGAGTATTGCATTAAGAAACGCTTTTTGGCTCTCTCGTATGCTTTCTGCCGTTTAGATAAAGGTTGAGGTGCTTCAGATATCTTGAGTTCCGACGCTTTCATCAGCTTGGGAAGATCAGGGAACTCGTCATCTGAATCCTCCAGCTCGTGGTCCTCATCCTCGGAAGAAGAAACGGAGGTTGATTCTGCAGAAAGGTTGTCTTCCTCCTTGATTTCCTTAGATATTTCTCCCAGACCACCACACTTGCATCCTAATAATTCGTGAGTTTGGCACTTGGAGATCTCATCCAGACGGAATAAATCTTTCAATTCCTCCTGTGAAAAATGGGCTATGCCACCCTTTTGGCCCATAACACTATCTGCCAAACCAAGCTTTGTCACTTGTCTCTGCCAGATCTTCTCTTCTATTCCACCTTTGAGTAACAGACGGTAGATATGGCAGTGTCGCTTCTGGCCATCTCGATGAATCCTTGCCATTGCCTGGATGTCAGTTGCTGGGTTCCAGTCCACGTCGAAAAGTACAAGCCTGCTGGCTCCGATGAGGTTCAGCCCTGTACCCCCTGCTTTTGCGGAAAGTAAGAATGCAAAACAAGATGAAGACGGAGAGCGGTTGAAATCCTCTACCAGAGCCTGACGTTTCGTGGCAGGTGTAGAACCATCTAGACGCAAGAATGGGAGGTCTAGCGAAGTCAGGAGATTTGCTAGCAGGTTCAACGTAGAAGTATAATTGGACACCAGGACGACTTTCTCTTTCGTCTTACTCTGTAGGTTATAGAGTAATTGATCGAGAACTCTGATCTTCCCGCTAGAACCCGCGGCAAGAGAGCGATGGATATTCGGCGGGAGAGAGGATAATAAAGCACTCATTGATGTGTCTTCACCTTTGCCATTATCCTCTACCTTCGGCTTAAGCAACGAGGGGCTGTTGCATACTTTCTTCAGAATAGTGATAAGTTGTAAAGCACTTTCAGAGTTTCTCAACACAGATTGGAACATAGGAGAGGCGAGAACGTGATGGTATACACTTCTCTGCGCAGAAGTAGGATTGCAGAATAATATGTACTCTGTTTTTGGCGGCAAATGTTTTGAAAGGATATCAGCTGTCCGGCGGAGGATAAACGGAGACGTCAACTCCGCCAGTTCTTCACTTCTAGCCTTCCCCTTTTCGATGACCTTCTTAGGAGCATTTGGCTGTCTAGCTCCAACAATTGGGCCTTCAAAATCCCTCATAAATGACTTAAACGTTCCTAGGAGGGCAGGGTTGACAAAATCCACCATAGCAAAGAACTCGCTCAATTCGTTCTGGATTGGTGTCCCAGAAAGAATAATTCGGCGTGTAGTGTTTAGAGATTGAATGGCCTGAGCACTCTTGTTTTGCACAGTTTTCAATCGATGTCCCTCGTCAGCAACAACAAGGTCTATTCCAGGTCCTTTTGTAAGCTGGTCTTGCACAGAGCGTAGCCTCTCATAACCAATGATCATAACACTATAGCTTCGTCCCATTGTAAAATCCGATAACAGATTTCCCTTACCATCAGCAACAAATACCCCAATTCTATCACTGCCTAGCCATTTCT